AAAAAAAAAAAAAAGCAAAACAGTGACAACAACCCAAATACCCAATAAAATGTTTGTTTTCTGTACGTCTATATGTCTCTAGAGCTCCATCACACTCACTCACTTTCTCTGCTCTCAACCATCCTTTGTCTTTACTTACCGAATACTGCAGGAGCATCCAACTCCAGGCCTCAAGGGCTAGTGTCCTCCAGGTTTTAGATGTGTCCTCGATCCAACACAGCTGATTCAAATGGCTAAATGACCTCCTCAACCTGTCCTGAAGTTCTCCAGAGGCCTGGTAATGAACTAATCATGTGATTCTGGTGTGTTGACCCAGGGTGATTTCTAAAACCTGCAGGACACCGACCCTCGAGGCCTGGAGTTGCCCACCCCCTTGAATACTGTAACGACCCTAACTCACAGAAAAACACTGCTTTCAGGATGAGTTAGAATTCTTTCAATTGAGCAAATTATTCAAGAGTTATGGGAGTTACAGATGTTGAACAAAACATTGCAAAACACCTGCCTGACACCAGTGACAGGTTGGCATTAGAGGGTTAAGCAAATGGTATCTGAAATCACTCTCCCTTTACGCTCAAGGTAGATTTCACATTGTACCTTCCAAAAATATTGGTGACTTTGTCTTTGCAAAGTTATATTATATTTCATTAGTTGTCTTACACTTCCTCTGCAATGAAACTTTGTTTCAATTCCAGCAAACATTGTAAAATAACTTTCATGTACCTTAACTCAATAGATATGTTTAAAAGCACTTAACTGGCTTAAAAAACGAAACCTGTTTAAATTCAAGAATAAATCACAACATATAGAATTTTTAAGCTTTCTGCTTTTAATTTGCATTTTAAAAATCATTTTGTTTATTATTTGCAATATGTGAATAGAATATTCATAAGCATAAGCATACAGTCCCTTGCAAGTGCTGATAAGTTTTTCTTCAGTTTGACTTTAGTATTAACAATTCTTTTAATACATATGAATGTAGGCTTATGAAGAGTGTTGACAGCTGTCAGTTGTACATTTCAGTCCAATAACTACATCAAACAAATCACAAACAATAACCAAGAAGAGTATGTTATTACCCAAAAGTCACTGAGCTGTATTTTTCACAGAAATGCTCTTTTTTAAAAAATAAAGAATTCAGCTCTGTGTGTGGAATATTGCAATACCTGGAATTTGTTAGCAACATGTATAACAAGTAGGTAAATTAGGCTACGTTCACACTGAAGGTCTTAATGCTCAATTCCGATTTTTTTGATCAAATCCGATTTTTTTTTGTCTGCTTGTTCACACTACAAACAAAATGTGACAGCAAACGCGTTCTAGTGTGAACGCTCAAAGCGGCCCGCATGCGCAAAAGAAGACGTCACTCACAACGCGCTCTGTTTAGACCCAGACCAAACAGTATTGTTTGACTGATGGCCCTTAATATAAAGACTTTGGACTTTACGTTTCCCAATTTTTGCTTTAAGTTATTTTGTTATTTACATAATAATGTAAATAACCTAATAATTATCCTTATTGTTGTTTTAGAGAGGAGCGGTGCTTCAAAGGATAGTTGCAGATTTCTGTCAGAATCTGCAGATTATACAGTACAAATAAAATGTTCACGTTGTCTTCCCAACAGTTTCACTGACATCTACACTGGATGGCCAGGAATATGGGATCAGAACGATGCCACCTTGAAATGAAACCGAAAAAAATATTGAAACCGAAAAAAAATATTGTAACTGAAATAAATGTACTGAAAAATCTTGTATTGAAACTGAAAAAAAATTGATAGTGACAAACAATTAATTGAAACTGTAATTTTTTTGTTTTCACTTACAATTTTTTTTTCAGTTTCAATCCATTTTTCAGTTTCAATCTGCTGGCACTGTTTTGGCATCCGGGGGCGCACTGGGGGGGCGGGGATTCCGACCCCCATGTATTTGCATACATTATATAGGCCACTAGTGCTGACCAAGCTGCCATCTTTCTCTCTTCCCGTCTTTCAATGGCTGCTTCAATTTCAGCTTGACCCTCTAAACCGCAGGTAAGCAATCATTTTTTTTGTCATCTTTCCTTGCTGTCCCACTGGACTAGACATTAGTTTAGTTTTTTTTTTAGCTACATCTGGTGAAGTTGTGGTAAAATGCTGTTATTAGCCTATTCGTCGTAGCAAGCTAGCCTGAAGCTAATATTTGCTAAATTTAGGGGTACCCGTGTCACTGTAGGAGTTGGAGGCTGGTGTTTTAGGTAGTGATGTGCGATAACACTGATTTCTTTTCTGATCTGATACCAAGTAATATTCAGGGTGGTATCGACGATACTGATCCGATACCGATACTTTGTACAAAAACGTATTTTATTTATTGTATCTCAAATTATAGCATCATAATGATTACAGGACATCAGATTACTTGTTGTTATCACTTAATAATGCAGAGTTCATCATATAGAAATAAAAAAACT